ACAGCAAAAGAAGTAGAAGGCAAGAAATAATTAAAATCAGAGCTGAAATCAATGAAATCGAAACAAAAGAAACAATTGAAAAAATTGACAAAACTAAAAGTTGGTTCTTTGAAAAAATAAACAAAATCGACAGACCCTTAGCCATGCTAGCGAAGAGAAGAAGAGAGAGAACTCAAATTACTAACATACGCGATGAAAGAGGCAATATCACAACAGACACTTCAGAAATACAGAAGATAATCAAAAATTATTTTGAATCCTTATACTCCAATAAATTAGAAGATAGTGAAGGCATAGATAAATTTCTTAAGTCATATGATCTGCCCAGATTGAGTCAGGAGGATATAGACAACCTAAACAGACCAATATCAATTGAGGAAATAGAAGAAACCATCAAAAGACTACCAACTAAGAAAAGCCCAGGACCGGATGGGTATACAGCAGAGTTTTACAAAACCTTTAAAGAGGAACTAATACCAATACTTTTCAAGCTACTTCGGAAAATAGAAAAAGAGGGAGAACTTCCAAATTCATTCTACGAGGCCAACATCACCCTGATACCTAAACCAGACAAAGACACTTCAAAGAAAGAAAACTACAGACCAATATCTCTAATGAACCTAGATGCAAAAATCCTCAATAAAATTCTGGCCACTCGGATACAAAGGCACATCAAAAAAATTGTGCACCATGATCAAGTAGGATTCATCCCTGGGATGCAAGGCTGGTTCAATATACGGAAATCAATAAATGTTATTCACCACATCAATAGACTTAAAAATAAGAACCATATTATCATCTCGATAGATGCGGAAAAAGCATTCGACAAAGTACAGCATCCCTTTATGTTCAAAACTCTAGAAAAACTAGGGATAACAGGAACATACCTCAATATTGTAAAAGCAATCTATGCTAAGCCTCAGGCTAGCATCATTCTGAATGGAGAAAAATTGAAGGCATTCCCTCTAAAATCTGGAACAAGACAGGGATGCCCTCTCTCACCACTTCTGTTCAACATAGTTCTCGAAACACTGGCCAGAGCAATTAGACAGATGAAAGAAATTAAAGGCATAAAAATAGGAAAAGAAGAACTTACATTATCACTATTTGCAGGTGACATGATTCTATACCTAGCAGACCCAAAAGGGTCTACAAAGAAACTATTAGAGCTAATAAATGAATTCAGCAAAGTGGCAGGATATAAAATCAACACGCATAAATCAAAGGCATTCCTGTATATCAGCGACAAATCCTCTGAAATGGAAATGAGGACAACCACTCCATTCACAATATCTTCAAAAAAAATAAAATACTTGGGAATCAACCTAACAAAAGAGGTGAAAGACTTATACAATGAAAACTACAGAACCCTAAAGAGAGAAATAGAAGAAGATCTTAGAAGATGGAAAAATATACCCTGTTCATGGATAGGCAGAACTAACATCATCAAAATGGCGATATTACAAAAAGTTCTCTATAGGTTTAATGCAATGCCAATCAAAATCCCAACAGCATTTCTTGTAGAAATAGAGAAAGCAATCATGAAATTCATATGGAAAAATAAAAGACCCAGAATAGCAAAAACAATGCTAAGCAGGAAGTGTGAATCAGGCGGTATAGCGATACCAGACTTCAAACTATACTACAGAGCAATAGTAACAAAAACAGCATGGTACTGGTACCAAAACAGGCGGGTGGACCAATGGTACAGAATAGAGGACACAGAAACCAATCCACAAAACTACAACTACCTTATATTTGATAAAGGGGCTAAAAGCATGCAATGGAGGAAGGATAGCATCTTCAACAAATGGAGCTGGGAAAACTGGAAATCCATATGCAACAAAATGAAACTGAATCCCTTTCTCTCGCCATGCACAAAAGTTAATTCAAAATGGATCAAGGAGCTTGATATCAAATCAGAGACACGCCGTCTGATAGAAGAAAAAGTTGGCTACGATCTACATACTGTGGGGTCGGGCTCCAAATTCCTCAATAGGACACCCATAGCACAAAAGTTAATAACTAGAATCAACAAATGGGACTTACCCAAACTAAAAAGTTTTTTCTCAGCAAAAGATACAATAAGAGAGGTAAATAGAGAGCCTACATCCTGGGAACAAATCTTTACTCCTCACACTTCAGATAGAGCCCTAATATCCAGAGTATACAAAGAACTCAAAAAATTAGACAATAAGAGAACAAACAACCCAATCAACAAATGGGCCAAGGACCTGAACAGACACTTCTCAGAGGAGGACATACAATCAATCAACAAGTACATGAAAAAATGCTCACCATCTCTAGCAGTCAGAGAAATGCAAATCAAAACCACCCTAAGATACCATCTCACTCCAGTTAGATTGGCAGCCATTATGAAGTCAAACAACAACAAGTGCTGGCGAGGATGTGGGGAAAAGGGTACACTTGTACATTGCTGGTGGGACTGCAAATTGGTGCAGCCAATTTGGAAAGCAGTATGGAGATTTCTTGGAAAGCTGGGAATGGAGCCACCATTTGACCCAGCTATTCCCCTTCTTGGTCTATTCCCTAAAGACCTAAAATGAGCATGCTACAGGGACACTGCTACATCGATGTTCATAGCAGCACAATTCACAATAGCTAGACTGTGGAACCAACCTAGATGCCCTTCAATGGATGAATGGATAAAAAAAATGTGGCATTTATACACAATGGAGTATTACTCTGCATTAAAAAATGACAAAATCATAGAATTTACAGGGAAATGGATGGCATTAGAGCAGATTATGCTAAGTGAAGCTAGCCAATCCCTAAAAAACAAATGCCAAATGTCTTCTTTGATATAAGGAGAGTAACTAAGAACAGAGTAGGGTCGAAGAGCATGAGAAGAAGATTAACATTAAACAGGGATGAGAGGTGGGAGGGAAAGGGAGAGAGAAGGGAAAATGCATGGAAATGGAAGGAGACCCTCAGAGTTATACAAAAGTACATACAAGAGGAAGTGAGGGGAAGGGGAAAAATAATACAAGGGGGACAAACGAATGTCAGTAGAGGGGGCAGAGAGAGAAGAGGGGAGGGGAGGGGAGGGGGGATAGTAGAGGATTGGAAAGGCAGCAGAATACAACAGACACTAGTATGGCAATATGTAAATCAATGGATGTGCAACTGATGTGATTCTGCAATCTGTATATGGGGTAAAAATGGGAGCTCATAACCCACTTGAATCAAATTGTGAAATATGATATATCAAGAACTATGTAATGTTTGGAACAGCCAACAATAAAAAATTAAAAAAATAATAAAAAAAATAAAATTAATAGAGATAGGAAATAATTCCCAACTCAATAAATAAGTCAAAAAACATTGTTATCAATCCCCAAAAGGGATTGATTTTTAAGAATTTTTAACAAAATATAAGCAAAAATTCCTTTTATACTTAAAAGGGACAATACATCATGACCATGTGGAATTTATCCCAGGAACCCAAGTTTGGCTTATATTTAAAAATTAATTAACGTAGCTCACCCTACTTAACATAAAAACAAAAGTATCACATGATCCTCTCAATAAATCCAGAAAAAAGCAATTAATGGAATTGAATGCCTACATTTTTGTGATTTAAAAAAAAAACTAAACTACAGATAGAATTGCTTTAATCTAATAAAGCATATCTACAAAAAGGCCTATTGCTAACATTATAGTTAAGATGACATAATGAACAGAAACACCTTCCCCTAAAACCAGAAATAAATGAAAGATATCCACTATAGTATTATTACTACCACCACCTCTTCTCCTTTCTCTCTTCTCCTCCATTTATCATTGTGTGTATTTGTCTGTGTGTGTGTGTGTGTGTGTGAGAGAGAGAGAGAGAGAGAGAGAGAGAGAAAGAATGAAAGAGAGAGATAGAGAGACAGACAGAAATAGAGACAAAGAGAGTTAGTTACTGTCATTGAACTCAGCTCACACATGCTAGGAAAGTGCTCAATCATTGAGCTACATCTGTGGCTCTTTTCATTTTATTTTTTTTTTATCTTGAGATGGGGTCTCACTAAATTGCTCAAGCTGACCTCTAACTTGAGCTCCTCCTGCCTCATCCTCCTGATTCACTAAGATTATAGTCCTTCACTACCATACTAACAATCATCACTGGTGTTCAATATTTTAACAACTGTATTAACCAATGCATTAAGGCAAAACAAATAATGGGCATAATAGATTTGAAAGAATAAAAATATATATATTTGTTTGCAGACATTATGATTATTTTTATTCAAAGTCCTAAATAATCTGTAAAGCAAAAGGCTACTAAATCTAGTAAGTTACTGTACCAAGGATTCAAATTACAAGATAAATCCAAAAACTCAACTATATTTCTATGTACAAGCAACAAATATTTTAAAATAGGTTTTAAAAATATATATTTGAAAATAAGTTTTTTTAAAAATGTATATTTTCAATAGCACACTATAAAATATCAAGAAATAAACATAATAAAAGTACAAAAGACAATCCACATTTAACATGACAAAACATTGCTGATAGGAACTGAACCAGAGTCAACAGATGGAGAGTTCTCATGCTAATGGATGAAAATATAATATTGTTAATAAATTAGCTCTTACAGACTGATCTATGATTTCATTTTGATACCAACTGAAATTCCATAACTCTTTCTTTTCTGGATTTAATGAATGCTAAGATGCTTATAGAAATATAAAAAGAACTGAAATAGCCAAAATAATTTTGTAAAAAAAAAAAAGAACAAAATTGGATGATTTACATGATTAAAGACTAATTACAAAACTATAGTAATAAAGACAGGGTACTACTAAAGTCAAACAAATTAATCAATCTGAATAGTTCAGAATTAAGTCACGAGATTTTTCAAAAACTGTCAGTAAAATTCATTTGGTATTGGAGAAGGTTTTCATCAAATTATTCTGTATTAACTAAATTACTAATGGGAAATAACAAAACTTGACAACCCTACAAGCCATATACAGAAGTTAAGTCAAGTGCTCACTTCAGTAGCACATACACTAAAATTGGAACGATACAAATATTAGCATGGCCCCTGCATAAGGATGACATGTAAATTTGTGAAGCGTTCCATATTTTAAAAAATAAAAGAAAAACATTAAGTCAAAAGAATTTCTAATAAGCATAAAAACTACAATTATATAGCTTCTAAAAGAATACATCAAATAACTTACAGAAAATAGCTCTCTGGAGCTAGGTACAGTTTACATAGAAGGGAAAAGTCACTAACCATTAAACTGGTTTTTATGACAGTCAAAACTTCAGCTTATCAAAACACACCAGTGAGAAAATGAACAATGCAGAAAATAATTGCACTTTGTGTAAGAAAAAGAAACAAAGAAGCAAAGGACTAATATTCAGAATACAAAAGGAACTTCTACAATCAACATTTCCAAAATATTCAAATCAACACCTCACAAAATATGTAATAACTAAAGATTCACTAAATTTAGTCACTGAAGAAAAGTAAATTAAAATCACAATGAAATGTCAACACACACCCACTAGAATGGCAACTTTTGAAAATGTTAAAACCAAACATTAAAGAAGATATAGATCAAATGGACCTGTCATACATTACTAGTAGAAATGCAAATTAATACAAGTAATTTGGAAGACTATTCAATATTCTCTTATGAATTTAAATGTTGATGTTACTTTATGATTTAGCAATTTCAGATATGGGTGTCTACACAAAAGAAATGTATTTCCAGTAATATTTGTAAGAGTTTGTAAATGGCTATTCTGTTAATAAGAGCAAAACTTAGTCTTTTGTTTTTTAAATTACTCAGTCTATAGCATTCTGTAATACAATATGGAATAAGACAAACAAGAATATTCTAACAGAATATTAACTGGTATTTTATGTAATAAATTATTACTTAGCAATAAAAAGCTGACATATTCAAAATGAATAAATATCAAAGATTTTGATCAAAAGAAGGAAGACAAGTGCATACTCTATGACTGTATTTAAATGAAGATTATAAACTTACAAAATTAATATATGGCAATAGAAATCCAAGTATTAGTTATTTCTCGGGAGCAGGGCTTGACTGAAAAAGAATAAGAAAGCCACACAGAATGGTGCACACCTGAAATTCTAGCTACTTGGGAGGCTGCTACAGGAAGATCAGTTCACACGTTTGAGGTCCTCAGCAACTTAGAGAGACACTGTCTCAAAATGAAAAATAAAGAGGAATGGGGATGTAGCTTGTGGTAAAGCATCCCTAGTTTTAATCCCTAGTACCCAAACTAAATAAATGTAAGAGTATGAGAGAATTTTGTAGGGTAAGGACTACATCCTATATACTGAAAGGAGTATGGATTTTATGCAGTGTACATGTACCCAACCTCATTGAAGTGGACACTAATAATTTGTATGTTTTACTAGAAATAATTATATCTCCACTTAGTAAAACCATATTGAGATATAGTCCCTCTACTATCAGTTTTACAAAAATTCACATTTGACAACATATTCTGATAAGACTATAGGAAAAAAAGGCAAATTTACATGATTTGATGAGATGTAAAATGACATAACAGCCAGAGGACATGGCCAATTTGAACCATCTGGTAAAATTAAAATATATTTGCTATTTGATTCAGCAATTTTTTCTGAGATTCTATACCAAAGACACAAAGAAAAATATATGAAAATATTTGTATTAAAGATGATGTATTGCAGCATTATTTGTAGTAGCAAAAGAAAAAAATACTAAAATATCCACCAACAGGGGACTGGTTGAATAAATCAGGCTAGGCAAGCAGTAGACCTCTCTGTAGTTGTAAAACATGAAAGAAATCTATATATGCTGTTATGGAAATATTGTCAAATGCACAAAAGTAATTAAGAAAAAAAGCTCATATGGAATTTCATCATTCATCTATTAAGAGGAAAGAATGGATGGCTATAGGTAGATAAATGAATATAAACAGAAGAGGTAGTTTACATGAAAGAACAATAAAATGTTATGGTTTAGATGAGGTGTCACCCATCAAAAGCTCATGTGTAAGACAATGCAAGAAAGTTTGCTGATTACATGATTAGTCTTGACCTAATCAGTGCATTAATTCCCTGAAAGGGATTAACTGGGTGGTTAACTGTCAACAGGTAGGGTGTGGCTAGAAGAAGTGGGTCACTGGGAACATGCCTTTGGTGTATATAGTTTGTCTTTGTTGAGCACAGATCCCTCTCCTTTTCCTATTGCCCACGTCCTGAGCTGCTTTCCTCTGCCACACCCTTCCACCATGATGTTCTGCCTGACCTTAGGCCCAGAGCAATGGAGTTGGCGGTCTGTGGACTGAAACCTCTGATACCATGAGCCCCAGATAAACTTCCTTCTCTAAAATTGTTCTTGTCAGATCCTTCGGTCACCGCAACAAAAAAGCTGACCAAGACAATACTGGACAATTTTTTAAATGGTTATCAATAAAGGAAGTAAGGGAATAGAGTTGAAGGAAAGGGTACAAAGTAACATTTTTCTGACTATATCTAGGTCTATAGAATTTTATTTTGAAACAGATTAAAGAATCTATATAATCATAAAAGAAAATTAAACCGATTTTTAAAAAATTCCTAAAGAACAATAGTAAAATAAATGTATCTGTAGCCAGTTGGGGATGTAATCACATAGTGATAATATCAAATGGCATTAAAACAGTAATTTAACTAAATGCCCTTAGAGAGATAAAGCCTTAGGACAAAAAGCACTGCAAATATACATGTATAAACAGCATCCAAAAAAATGGTACTGTTATTACTATGGAATAGTTATTTAGTGTATTGTAGAATAAAGTAAATGGGTGATTGTACTTTTTAGCAAGAGAGAAAAGAAACACAGTAAGATTACTGAGTTTAAGTTAAAACCCTACAATACTATATTTGAATCTACAAAATCAGAAGAACTCATAATAAACTACCTCTCAAAAATAAACTTGGGCATTTCATGATTTTGTTTATTGAAAAGATCCAGAAATAAGAATCTACCCAGTAACAGTGAATATCCTTAGTAACTGTATTCCAGTGTCTAAATAACGAGTCCACTAAAGAGGCCTGGCTCCTAGCAAACGGAGCTGGCTGATCCCAGATCTGCAGCATGAAATGTGAAAAATGATCCTGTGAAATCCTGTTATAACACAGCACAAAGAAGCTGTCTTGGATCTAGTTTAAAAAAAAGAACTCAGTCAAGTTGATGACTACTACTACTGGCCAAGAAGAGGCTATTATTATGCTTCTTTCTATACATAAGTTATAAAAAATAATAAATACTCCTTGGTCACTATTGGATAGTGCTAGTGAACTTAAAAAGTTAAAAAATAAGTGCTCATAAGTAATTTCAAATGGAATATAAGTGAAAAGAATCAAAACTTTACCTTTCTTTGCTATATAAATGAATCCTAAAGTTTACCAACTTATTCATGAAGGAACATTTCTTTTTATAGAAATATTCCAGCTAATAACTGGAGAATGATAGAAATATAAAATTATCATTTTGCAACCCCTAAGTAACTAATGTGGACAAGAATTGTCATTAGCTGCAACATCACTAAAAATCATTAAAAAAATTAAAAGAGCAATATATATTATGTACCTTCTACTAGAAGCACAAATCACCAGTGAAGTGTTCTTTAAAAAAAAAAAAAAAGTTCTTGAATCATGATTAGATTCAACTTCTAACAAATAATAGGCAATTGTGGAAATGGAGGAACATATTGGACACTGAAGAGGCAAAATCATAAAATACAAACCATGGTAACTCTAAGTCAAATGATGAAATTACTTACAGAAATAATGAATATGAAGAGGTACTCTATATAAATAGTAGCCAAATTAAACAATTGCAATATATATAGACCTTATTTGGATCCTGGTTTAAACAATACATTTGAAAAATACAATTATAAGAAAAATCAGAGAAATAATCATTTGCATTTGATGAGACTAAAGAATTATGATATTGGAGTTATGTTCAAATACCATCTTTTTAGAAATATAAACTAAAATTCTTAGGTATGAGCTTATATTTCCTTCAAATTGAGTTGAGCAGGATGTTGTAAATAGAGAACGCTCAGTATCTGTCCTTTAAAAAGTCAACCCAAAAGGACAGAAATTTTCAGGGAAGAGGTAGGCATTCCAAAAATTGGTGACCATACATACAAAGGCTGCAGATCTAACACACTACGATGTAGAAAGGACTAAGACACATCTAACCATGGTTAGATGAAGGAGACACAGAGGGAGGAACAGAAGATGACTTGTATGCCCAAGAGTGGCTTTTATTCTGTGAGAAAGCACTACTACCCAAAGGGGAAAAAAATACAGGCCATATGTATAACCTACAATTTTCTGCTAGTCACATTAAATAGTGAAATTAATACATTGTGTTTAATTCAATAAATCTAAAATATTATAAAACAAGTTATCAGTATAAAATTGGTAATGATATTTTGTTGTTTTCTGTACTAAATTTTCACTATTCAATGCATATTTTATATTTAGAGCACATTTCAAGTCATACTCCTTCAATTGCTCAATGGCCACATAAAGTCTTTGACTATCACTGCATAGTACAGCTACTACAGAACCTTATGATTTGAAAATTTTGAGAAACTACCTGCTTTTCATTCTCCAAGTCACCAAATCAGTTCCCCATGAGTTCAACTTCCATTCTTCAATGTAGATATTTTGTAAATTTAGACCATATGTCCAACTGTCTACTGTGTCTAATATTTAATATTTACCCCAAATTAAGTGTTCCAGACTAAGTTCATTATCTGTCTCCTTCACCTCCTTATCTCCCTAGAATTTGTCTCACTCCATCTCCCTCTATTCGGTCCCTCCTCATTTAATCAGTTGAAAGATTCTGTTAGTTATTTCCAAATGTCTCATTCTTCAACTTATTTAGTCAAAATGTTCCTCAAATCATGATCAACACTACTATGAATGATTCCTTATTTTATCCTTTCTGCCACCATTTGGTCCCCACCCAATATGTCTTCCTTTATCTCATAGGAACATCTTCATGGATTTTTTGGGGGGGTGGGGGTCAGTACCTGGGATTGAACTCAGGTGTA